GGACGGTCGCGACGGCACGAGCGAAGCGAGTGCGTACGCGCGCCCGTGTCGACCTATAAACAAATATGCCCCCACTGTTACACATAGAATTTTTCTTTACAAGTGCTCATAGTAATGTGCCCTATACAGCAACGTTTTTGCGCAGAAGAATGGAATAAGAGAAATAGCTTAACGGCTTGAGGTATTGTTTATTTACCGCACGCAAAAGCGTTAAGGTGTAGGGCACATTACGTGCACGCGTGAAGAAGAGATATTAAATTATTATGATGACAAATAACGTCACTTTGTTTGCTGTATAGCGTATTTTGTAATAACGAGTTTATTATTACATTCTTCTCATCAACAAAGCAATAACACTTGTCTAACTGTTGTTCAGCGAATTTGTATTATGTTCATTCATATGTTCAGCAGGATTAGCAATGTCACCTCATAAAAATAATTCGTTACCGTTACAGTTTTTTTTCCTAAAAAAATTAATCGTTCTTGTTACTCGTTATTGATTTATAAAAGTAATTCGTTATCGTTACAGTTACTCAAACTATAACGAATCATTACATTTTTCTTGACACTAATAAAATATTATGTAAAGATTTTTTGATAAATATGTATGTAAAGATATTAAAATTCTATTTTTTAATAGAGGAATAGAACTGTAGAAAAGAAAAATATATATATTATACATACATGTGTATATACTCATTTTCAGCTCAACTTTTTAAAATTATATACACACACACAAACACACACACAGGTATGTATGTATAATTATTAATTATATCATATAATATATAATATTATATATATATGTATATACATTAAATGTATATTAATACATATATATACCGGGTGAGGCAATAACTTTGTCCACCTTGAATATCTCCGCTATTTTTAAAGATATGAAAATATTGTTATTACAAAAGTTGTAGGGCATCAAGAGAACTATAACATATGCTAGTCATAATTTTTATAGGTGGAGGCGTTTCTGAGATTTTCAAGGTTAACTTCATTTTTTAAATGGAATTATATGAATTTTTTTCACTATATGATTCCCCTAATTATTCTGTACATAAAAGTATTAAGATAGAGATATAAAAAAACCAATAGTTTACGAGATATTTTACACATTCTTTTGGTGCATATTGACAAAAAATGTTTAATAATTCGTGAACTATTGACTTTTTGATAATCGTACCTTAATGCTTTTGTAAACAGTATAATGAGGTGAATCAATTGGTGTGAAGAAAACACATAGTTGCTTATTTCTAAATTATCCATTTTGCATACATTAGTACATTGTGTAACGTGTGTGGCAAGTCGTCTATTGCGCTCCCCCGCGGCCACGCCGCGCTATAGACAATTACACATGAGATGCACATAGATTTTTTCCTTGATGTTAAGACGATATTCCTTAAAATAAATATTGCGAAAAATATCACTTCGTCGACTCGCCTTCAGAGGCCTATAGTTATTCTCAAATTCTCGCAAGTGCTTTGACACACGTATAATTCTTCATATAGTACCTCGACTTAACATCTAACACAGGCGTATAAGGTAGGCTCCCACTACATTACCTTACTGATGAGTCCAGTAGTGGAAGCCGGGACGAAACGCCAACTTGTGATATTCTTCGGAACATACTAAATTAATAAGATCCAATTATTTACGGAATTTTAAATTATCATCTTTATATTTTATTTGTAATTAATCAAGTATTTATCGGTGATATTATAATACTACTGTAGTATTTATGCGTTATATGTCTGATTGTATCAGCGCGCAATTATGGGGGGACTACATATGTAGCATATAAAAATTCACACATATTTATAATAAGCACATTGATCCAGCTTTGACCGTTATAGGCGGTAATTCTTTCCTTGTTTGTTTGACAATTTACGGTCGGTACAAAAATTATTTAATATTGTAAAAAATAAATTGTGATACTTAAATATCTTGAAATTTTTTATTTTTGTTGTTCACGGAATATTAAAGAAAGATAAAATGATACATCATGCGCATAATGCAAGAAACAGAATGCAGCCTGTAAGTGTGAACTGTGAATACAATGTGAAAAAAGGCATCGTAATTAAGAGAGCCAATCGAATCTATCCCTTTAACGCCGCACCTTTGTTTTCTATAACTTTAGTTACAACTAAAACACTTTTACATGGTTAGAAATAAAATAACGATAAAAGTAATTAGTGAAATCGTTACCATTACCCAAAAAACTGCGTTACCATGAACGTTAATCCGAAGAAAATGTAACGTCGTTACCTATTCGTTACCGAAAAAAGTAACTTGTAACGATAACGACGTTACAAATAACGCGTTACTTGCCAACCCTGGTAATTTGATTACTAATGTTACTGACGGTTAAAATTATCATGACTATGAGAAAAATTATATTTGATATATTTCCTCCTTTTTTTTTAAACATAAAGCTTCCTTTTTTTTTAAAATAAAATCGATCTCAAACGTTGTAGCCGATGAATAAGTATAAAGCAAAATATAGAGAACATGAGTACAAAAGCATATATGCAACAATGTTCTCTCCATTTTCATATTAAAACCGTACGAATAATATTATAAACACAAGGTTGGACATTAACAAGCGACGTGGATAATTCTATATAGAAAACGAATTCGATACTCTACGCAAACTAGCAATCAATATTCTTCTATCACAGTGGGTTATGCAAATGATATCGTACATAACAATAGTAACTATTTTTTAACAACCATTGTATAGTCGACAAAAGGTCATATACACACCTCGTTGCGACGAGATATTATGTTTCTAATTGTCAGAACGATACCTTAAAATGTCGCGTTGGTATAAGAAAATAAAATTGCATGACAACCGCGTGAATGTCGCATCCTGCAAAAAAAATAAATACTCTGCGAAATTTGAACGATCCTAAGTTTGTCTGACTCTGCAACGATTATATATATATATGACTCAAATAATAGTAGGAAACTTCGCTGTTCCTGATGCATCGAGAGCTAGATATAAAAAGTCAAGAAAGTTTCAGACAGATTATTTGAGTGCAACGAGTACTAACAATCGTCATCAGTATCAACGGCAACGAAATACTTCTTCCAGTAACGTGTAAGTAGAGCTGGGAAATACTAGTAATAAAATTACAAATTATATAGAGTTTTACGTTTTTTACTGTTGTAGTTCGACTTCAAGGTTAATTTTTTTCCTCTATAATTGTAAATTAATTATTTTTTTTGGTAACAAATAATTATTTTTATACTTATTTTATATAAAACATCTATTACCACAAGAGCTGACCAAAATGAAATGTTTAGTGAATAATCAGTGACTAATTGTGATTGGAATATATCTTTACTAAACCGTAAGTGTAATCATTACACTCTGTAAATGTTTGTACCAAGAATTAAGCTAAGATTCCTTTAGAAATAAATATGTTTTAATATTAATTATATAATTTTGATTGTGTACTAAATATACATATTTAAAACAATAGAATAGTTCAAGGGCTAAGGAGCCAGTTATGTAACAAATATCGTTTAATTTAAAACATATAAATAAAAATAATTACAAACGTTTCAACGCCGATCGAGTCATTCTCAATGTTACAATAAATATATTATAATTGTAAAATTATTGAAATTCTATAAAATATACTTTTTTTTCTTCGTGTCCTATCTAATGATGTTGCGAATCAATAAAATAAAATAGTCAAATTAGTCGTTGAACATACACGACAGTAAAACAGTAATAATCTAAAACATAACCATTAACAAAAGAAAATTAATTCAAATTAAGTATATATTGTATAATAAATAAAAGAATTTAATTATGTTAGAAACATGTAAGATTTTTACATTTAAAATAGCAATGTAAAAAATTAGAAAAAAATTATGAAAATGTAAATAAAGAGAAACAATTTAAATTTTTGTAATTGTAACTGTAACACATTACTTTCCAGATTCTATGACTTGTAACGGTAACTAATTATTTTTTTGGAAAAAAACTGTATAACCATAATTAATTTTTCTTAGAAAAAATAATTTTTTCAAGCCTGATAGTAAGAAAGAATAAGTGAACGTTGTGTGGAATTGCGCCAAGTAGTAAGTCGGCTTCGAAAGACTTTGTTATAAATTATATAATATCCAAAGTTTCCAAGTTGCAAGAAATGTCAAACAAAATAAACAACCTTTGTAAATCACGTAATTTTATCAATATCAATAATACTTCAAATTTTTCTCCTTCTGATCAATAAATGAAAGAGAAAGCAAACGTTATTAAGAGGTCAAAAATGTCAAAATAAACAAAAATAGCCTATTCTCTTCAAAATACTTTCTTATACCATAAAATGCGCAAAATATAGATAGAAGTTTATAATCACAGTAAACTTCGACAAATTGCATTATTAAGTTATTCCTACATCACAAGTTTATTTAGAATTAGACATACAACTTGCTGTACTGTACACAACGTTCAGCTGGTAATCTCGCAATGCGAAGTTACTTCGTATATAGCAGTAAACTTTTAAAACTAAAATTTAGCTGCAATTTTAGAAAAGCGGGTAAAGTATAAAATTACTTAAATTATAACATAAATTAATTAAATTATAACACAGATTTTTAACAATAAGGAGATTACAGACAAATAAATCTTTTTTTTTACAAAATCAATGAGATGATCTATCAAAATTTCTTTGAAACATTATTGTCAATTTATATATGTACATACAACGTAGTTACATTATATCCAACATTATATCCAACATTCGTCAATTTTTACTGATGATAAAAGTCAATAGAAAAGATAAAATCAATATAATGTGGATAGCGAGATATTATCCTAGCAGATTAAAAGATTTTAAATATTAATAAGTACGAGTATCACATATTTTATCTAATATTATATAATTTAAAATTGAATTTTACAGATACATCTTCGGATGTATTATAAATATTAGAATTGGAATAATCAGAGGTGACAATATCACACAAAATTACTGACGATGATGATACAATTATTATGCTTAATTTCAATGGTCGCTATTGATTATGGTGAGTATTCTAGGATAAATTAATCAGCTTTGTGGTTATTTAATTTTATGCAATTAAATTCATAAGAATAATGAGTTAATAACAAATTGTGTGCAGGCGCATCAATAAAATTAACACCGAGAGTTGTTGGAGGGAGACTTGCCGAGCCAGGTGAAGTCCCATACCAGGTAAGCTAGTAAATTATTTTTAATCAATGTTATTATTAATCAATATCGTTATGATACTACTTGAATTTAAAAATACTTTTAACGCATAGAATTTTTTAAGTTCGGATGAGCAATAAATTAATCACTTTTATTCAGCAATTCAAAATTGCTAGTGTTAATTGTAAACCTGGATATGCTACATAATAATATTAGAAATTTCTGTATGTTGTTGCATAAAATATGAAATGTATTTTATAATTCAGGTTGCTCTACAAAACATTGTAACAAAGGAACAATTCTGCGGTGGAGTCATAATTAACGAGTATTATGTAGTAACCTCTGCTCATTGTATATTTTGGTAAATATGAAAATCTCAAGAAACACTTCAGAAAAATAAATATGTAGATTCAAAATATATGTTCTTCGTAATATTCTTTATAGGGAAGACATTTTGGACATTGCGGTCAGTGCTGGAACAACAGACCTTCGAAAACCGCATTCAGTGCATCTAGCTGTGTTAGGTCATGTACACGAACAATATGATCCCGAACATTTCAATGGCAGATTCAATTACGATATCGGTTTAGTTAAGGTAATAGTAAAATGTGTGATAGCATTTATCACATATAGTTTCAATTAAATTAAGCAATAAAAAAATTACAACTGCGCAAAAGAGTATACGGAAGATTTATTTCTAGGTCCAAACTCCATTTGTATTTTCTTTTTTGATATCTCCTGCCAATTTACCGAAACAAGATGAATTTGTCGAAACAGGCTCGACAGCATTAATATCGGGATTCGGCGTGATAACGGTAAGTTTCTTAATATTTCAATCATTTAGAGTCTTCACTGAAAAAAGTAATTATAGCTACCAAAAATATCGAGTAAAATAGTTTCAATTTAATATTGAAGTAATATAATATAATATAACTAAACATAATTTTGCCTTTACAAATATTTAGTAAGTATTATCGTTGGTAATACCGTTTATTACATATCTACTAAATATTTGTAAAGGTAAAATTATAATTAGTGTAGGATTAAATTAAAGTATGTAGGATTTATTGGTGATATGGATTATACGACGCTTCGAAGAGTCACACGTTCTTGCTAACAACACGCGCCAACCATTCTACTCACTCGCTGCTCAACATCTAACCTGCCTTACTTCTAGCGCAAGCGCGCCAATACTTTTCGTAGCGCCACAACCGGAAACGCATAAAAATAAGTCTCGTGTACAATGTACGCTTCCTACATTAGTTACATTTTAATTCAACATTTAGTTAAAACTATTTCACTCAATATTTTAGACTTACAACCTTTTTTCAGTGTTAAATGTTAAGTATTTCAAAATTGTTTTTCAAATTACTCTCATAAGTTACATTTGTACTTTGTATAATTTCAGTATCCTGCAGGAAAGACAACCAATCAGTTGTACATCGTAGATAATATAATAGTCAATCAAACTTATTGTAACGAAATATATATAGACCTAATAGATGCAGAAATTTACGATTCGCAAATCTGCTCAATTCATCCAACTGAAGAAAAGGGTATATGCTTTGTAAGTTATTTACATGAAGCGTTACAATACAGTCATTAAATACCGGTCGCATTTTTATGCCGTCTACTCGAGTTAAGTCATTAACTACTTAGCTTCATTATTCTTCTGAGACAAAGCTTCAATTCGTCATTGTTTTTAATAACTCGTAAACACAATTGTCTTAACAATTAACGATTGTATTTCAAGTCGCGTATACAAACTCTCAATAAAAGGAGATAAGTCCGATTACATCAAATAATTATCGGAAATTATATTACGCAGGTATATTCTAATTCCAGTTAACTTACTTATTATAATTTTTATCGATTAATTAATTATTTTGTTAATTAATTAATATAATGTTTAATAATATATACACGCATAAAACATTTATTTATTAATTACTATAGCTGCAATTTGCTGCAACACTGATTTGTTGATTGTTAATGAACTATATTGATTATTTAAAAATCAGATTATTAGATTTGCGTTGCAAGACCGACAATTGTTCGGCGCGCAATTTGGGGGGACTACATATATTATTATAGAACATTATTTCTCACTTTGGATAAATATTGCGAAGAATATTACTACGTCGACCCGCCATCAGAGGTCTATCGATATTCGCAAATTCTCGCAAGTGCTGAGACACGCGTATATCTCTTTATATAGAATCTCAATTTAATAACACACCGGCGTCTAAGGTAGGCTTCCACTACAATGCCTTATTGATGAGTCCAGTAGTGGAAGCCGGGACGAAACGCCAAACATTACGTGATATTCTTCGCAATATAGAATATTAGAATATATTATCAGATTTAGATATTGACTCTTATTCGCCATTTTCAACGTATTAATTATTGTTATATAAAAGAGTCCTTTAATTCTTCAATTATTTATATTGATTATTTTATTCATTAACATATTTGAGATTCTTCATCACGTTTCATAATTTAATTTTCTTCACCCGTGCACGTAATGTGTCCTACACACACCTTAACGCTGTGCGTGCGGTAAATAGCCAATACCTGAAGCCGTTAAGTTATTTCTCTAATCCCACTCTTCTGCGAAAAACGTTGCTGTATAGGGCACATTACGACGAGCGCTTGTAAAGAAATAGTACATTGTGTAACCGTAGGGGATTGTTGTTTATTGTGGGGACGGGCGCGACGGCACGAGCGAAGAGAGTGCGTAAGCGCGCCCGTGTCGACCTATAAACAAATATGCCCCCACTGTTACACATAGAATTTTTCTTCACGCGTGTACGTAATGTGCCCTACACCATAACGCTAAATATATTTTCAGTAAACTATAAAAAACAACATTGTTTACTGGTAGGATTTTCCAATCAAATCTTCATAAAATATATTTTTTACTATTGGAGAATTGTATTTTTTAGGGTGATTCTGGTGGCCCTCTTACTGTCAATGGAAAACTCGTTGGACTCGTTGTGTATACGTACGATTGCGGTAGTAGTAAATATCCCACCGTGTATACACGCGTCCCGTCGTACATTACTTGGATAAATGAACAAATAAAAATTGACAAAAAATTATAATCTGGTGATTGACATTTAATGACATACGTTTAATGACATATTATATAAGAAAATAGAGAATCGATACGTACAATTAAATGTACAAATTTAGCTGTCATATTTAAATTGTTAAATAAACATCATATATATTGTATATATCATATGGCTTATATATTCGTAACCAAAATTTTCCCTATATTGCTATCTCTTTTAGAAAAGAGATAATACATATATCTTCTAAAGATCAATATCGTACGATCATTTTACATACATATATTTATCATTTTTAGCTCAGTGACGTCAAACAAGAATTTGCTTAAAAAACACACATTCCTATAAATAATAAATATTGCGTACATATATATATTTACACATATGCATTATTTTTTTTTGCACGTTTCATTATTCTCGCGATCGGTGAGCTAATAAATGTCCAAGGAAAAAATAAGTCAATCGAAACAAATCCACTTAACTATTCCGACAGCGTACATCAAGTGTACGAAATTGTTTCATAGAGATTAATAAACACTGATCTCTCAAAAATGGATGAAAGAACCATTTGCATTTGTTATCTCTTGTCTCTATCTAATATTCATTTCTATTTGTCTTATACACTTATCTAGACGAGTAAGTTATTGTATGAACCAAAGATTCTGACATATTTATTGAAAAATATGATGTTTATTTTCTGTATTCGTCTATATTTTCTGAACTTATGGTATTGCATTGCGTGCATCAATTCAGAGAGTGCAAGAATAAAAAAAAAGACCAATAATTCTCTGATAATGTTCTTCTGTTTTATAAAAGACAAATAATTTTTTGTTGATAAATAGCAAAAAAAGACGCTATTCCTTAAAATAAATATTGCGAAAAATATTACTTCGTCGATTCGCCTTCAGAGGTCTATAGTTATTCTCAAATTCTCGCAAGTGCTTTGACACACGTATAATTCTTCATATAGTGAAATATTCATATAGTGAATATTCTCGACTTAACATCTAACACAGGCGTATAAGGTAGGCTCCCACTACATTACCTTACTGATGAGTCCAGTAGTGGAACGGCGGACGAAACGCCAACTTGTGATATTCTTCGCAACATACTAAATTAATAAGATCCAATTATTTACGGAATTTTAAATTATCATCTTTATATTTAATTTGTAATTAATCAAGTATTTATCGGTGATATTATAATACTACTGTAGTATTTATGCGTTATATGTCTGATTGTATATCAGCGCGCAATTATGGGGGGACTACATATGTAGCATATAAAAATTCACACATACTTATAATAAGCACTTTGATCCAGCTTTGACCGTTATAGACGGTAATTCTTTCCTTGTTTGTTTGACAATTTACGGTCGGTACAAAAATTATTTAATATTGTAAAAAATAAATTGTGATACTTAAATATCTTGAAATTTTTTATTTTTGTTGTTCACCGAATATTAAAGAAAGATAAAATGATACATCATGCGCATAATGCATGAAACTGAATGCAGCCTGTAAGTGTGAACTGTGAATACAATGTGAAAAAAGGCGTCGTGCTTAAGAGAGCCAATCGAATCTATCCCTTTAACGTCGCACCTTTGTTTTCTATAACTTTAGTTACAACTAAAACTTTTACATGGTTAGAAATAAAATAACGATAAAAGTAACTAGTGAAATCGTTACCATTCCCCAGAAAACGTAACTGCGTTACCATGAACGTTAATCCGAAGAAAATGTAACGTCGTTACCTATTCGTTACCAAAAAAAGTAACTTGTAACGATAACGACGTTACAAATAACGCGTTATTTGCCAACCCTGGTAATTTGATTACTAATGTTACTGACGGTTAAAATTATCATGACTATGAGAAACAGTATATTTTATATATTTTCTCCTTTTTTTAAAACATAAAGCTTCTTTTTTTTTTAAAATAAAATTGATCTCAAACGTTGTAGCAGATGAGTAAGTATAAAGCAAACTGCAAAATATAGAGAACATGAGTACAAATGCATATATGCACTCATGTTCTCTCCATTTTCATATCAAAACTGTACGAATAATATTATAAACACAAAGTTGGACGTTAATAGGTAAGCGACGTGGATAACTCTACATAGAAAACGAATTCGATACTCTACGCAAACTAGCAATCAATATTCTTATATCACAGTGGGTAATGCAAATGATGTCGTACGTAACCGTAGTAACTATTTTTTAACAACCATTATATAGCCGACAAAAGGTCATATACACACCTCGTTGCGACGAGAATATTATGTTTCTAATTGTCAGAACGATACCTTAAAATGTCGCGTTGGTATATGAAAATAAAATTGCATGGCAACCGCGTGAATGTCGCATCATGCAAAAAAATAAATACTTTGCGAAATTTGAACGATCCTAAGTTTGTCTGACTCCGCAACGATTATATATATATATGACTCAAATAATAGTAGGAAACTTCGCTGTTCCTGATGCATCGAGAGCTAGATATAAAAAGTCAAGAAAGTTTCAGACAGATTATTTGAGTGCAACGAGTACTAACAATCGTCATCAGTATCAACGGCAACGAAATACTTCTTCCAGTAACGTGTAAGTAGAGCTGGGAAATACTAGTAATAAAATGAGCTAGATATAAAAAGTCAAGAAAGTTTCAGACAGATTATTTGAGTGCAACGAGTACTAACAATCGTCATCAGTATCAACGGCAACGAAATACTTCTTCCAGTAACGTGTAAGTACAGCTGGGAAATACTAGTAATAAAATTACAAATTATATAGAGTTTTACGTTTTTTACTGTTGTAGTTCGACTTCAAGGTTAATTTTTTCCTCTATAATTGTAAATTAATTATTTTTTTTGGCAACAAAAAATTGGCATAATTATATTTTTATACTTATTTTATATAAAACATCTATTACCACAAGAGCTGACCAAAATGTTTAGTGAACAATCAGTGATTAATTGTGATTGGAATATATCTTTACTAAACCATCACACTCTGTAAATGTTTGTACCAAGAATTAAGCTAAGATTCTTTTAGAAATGAACATGTTTTAATATTAATTATATAATTTTGATTTGACTAAATATACATATTTAATACAATAGAATAGTTCAAGGGCTAAGGAACCAGTTATGTAACAAATATCGTTTAATTTAAAATCGGGGAATGGAGTTGCTTGTAACGAAGTTACAGTTACAAGTTACTTTTTTGGTAACTTTACCGGTAACTGCGTTACTTTTTTTTTTGGTAACTGTAACGGTAATGAGTTACATTTTTTTTTATAACGGTAACGAAGTTTACAGTTACTTTTGTCGTTACTTTGCACACGATTGAACCGATTGGATATACGCCATTTATAGCGCTTATCAATAAGACTTGAAAGCCCTTAGGCATTCGGCCGTCATGATTCAGTAATCATTTTACACTTCTATCTTCTATGTAATACATAGGACATACAAATATTTCAGTTTGTTGCATATTTTACAGGTTTTAGAATTACAAAGTTGTTTAAAAAAAATTAAAGAATGAGTTAAATAAAAGTAAAATGAGAAGGGCTACGAACCCAAAAACGAAACAGTTTATTTCCAATAAGACGATGACAATAAGTGTCGAAACGTTGTTTGTTTTTATCTTGTTTTATCCATGTTATTGTTCTAATATATATTTATACATTTAATTACATTGTCATCATCGTTCTTATCGGAAATAAACTGTTTCAATTTTGGCTCGTAACACTTCTCATTTTACTTTTATTTAATTTATTATTTGAGCCATATTCTACATTGTTTTATTAAAAAATAAAACTATATTATTTGTCAGTGTTACATATAAAAAAAATGCAAAAAATGCAAAAGTACATTTTTAGATTAATTTTAAAAAAGTAACGGAAAAGTAACGAAAAGTTATTTTTTGAGTAACGGTAACTATAACGAGTTACTTTTAAAAAGCGATAACTGTAACGGTAACTCGTTACATTTTTTACTCGGTAACGAGTATAACTGTAATTAGTTACTTTTAAAAAGTAACTTTCCATTCCCTGTTTAAAATACATACATAAATAAAAATGATTACAAACGTTTCAACGCCGATCGGCCATTCTCAATGTTATAGTAAATATATTATAATTGTAAAATTATTGGAATTTTATAAAATATATTTTTTTTCTTCATGTCCTATCTAATAATGTTGCGAGTCAATAAAATAAAATAGTCAAATTAGTCGTTGAACATACACGACAGTAAAACAGTAATAATCTAAAACATAACCATTAACAAAAGAAAATTAATTCAAATTAAGTATATATTGTATAATAAATAAAAGAATTTAATTATGTTAGAAACATGTAAGATCTTTATATTTAAAATAGCAATGTAAAAAATTAGGAAAAAATTAATAAAAATATAACTAAAGAGAAACAATTTAAATTTTTGTAATTGTAACTGTAACGCGTTACTTTTCAGATTCTGCGACTTGTAACGGTAACTAATTTTTTTTTTGAAAAAAAAACGATAATAATTAATTTTTCTTACAAAAAAATAATGTTTTCAAGCCTGATAGTAAGAAAGAATAAGTGAACGTTGTGTGGAATTGCGCCAAGTAGTAATTCGGCTTCGAAAAACTTTATTATAAATTATATAATATCCAAAGTTTCCAAGTTGCAAGAAATGTCAAACAAAATAAACAACCTTTGTAAATCACGTAATTATCAATATCAATAACAATTCAAATTATTCTCCTTCTGCTCAATAAATGAAAGAGTAAGCAAACGTTATTAAGAGGTCAAAAATGTCAAAATAAATAAAAATAGCCTATTCTCTTCAAAATACTTTCTTATACCATAAAATGCGCAAAATATAGATATAAGTTTATAATCACAGTAAACTTCGACAAATTGCATTATTAAGTTACTCCTACATCACAAGTTTATTTAGAATTAGACATACAACTTGCTGTACTGTACATCACGTTCAGCTGATAATCTCGCAATGCGAAGTTACTTCGTATATAACAGTAAACTT